GTTCTAGTTCTGTTCTAGTTCTGTTCTAGTTCTGTTCTAGTTCTGTTCTAGTTTGTTCTAGTCTGTTCTAGTTCTGTTCTAGTTCTGTTCTAGTCTGTTCTAGTCTGTTCTAGTTCTGTTCTAGTTCTGTTCTAGTTCTGTTCCAGTTCTGTTCTAGTTCTGTACTAGTTCTGTTGAAGTTATGTTTTAGTTCGGTTTTAGTTCTGTTTTAGTTCTGTTCTAGTTCTGTTCTAGACAAGAAAAAAGCTTTTACATAAAAAAGCTTTTTACCAAGAACGAGCTTTTAGCGTTAGAAAGAAGAGTATTTAATTATTCGTTTTTAACTGATTTTAGTTAAAGTTATATTTTAATTTTTTTTATTATTTTTCTATCAGTTAAATATTCAAATAGCTGACAAATTTATAACTTTTTGCTATAAAGCATTTGAAAAGCTCAGCTGTAAACGTTCCGTTGTTAAGAATTGTATGGAATACAAAATGCATTTACTAGTTTGTTCGTTCATTCTCTAATACGGGGAGTTTGAAACGTGACAGAATTTTTTTGATTTGTCATTTACGAACACATTGGGAAAGATGGACGGGTGGATAGATGGATGGATTGGACAAGTATACAGAAAGTAGACACACACACATACATTAAACAATTGTGTAGAGAATTTCAAGTTTATGGTTGAGCTTTAAATAAAAATACATTTTTAATTGTTAAGTAATAAAATTTTATTATATTAAAACAGTTAAACAGCTAAATTAGCAAATAAACATAAGTTTTAGTAAAAAGGTGAAAAAATTTGGATTCCAAAAAAAAAAAAAATCAATAAATGAATTTTAAAACATGTTCTTCTTCTGAAATTTCTTGAGAATGTCCAGAATTCTATAAATTTGTAATAATTTGTTTAAACTAAAGCCTTTTTTTAGAATTATTTTCTATTAAAAACAGACTTCTCTAGTCAATTTTTAAGGCAAATTTAGTTCATGTCTAAGTTTGTCCTAATGAACATCAATCATATTTATAACCGTTTTTATTAATTTCTAATAATTTTATGGTGATTTTTGTATAAATTTCTTTTTGATCATTTAACCATTTGGGTTTTAAATAATTGTTTTAATAACACATTAAAGACTTTATAACAAAAGTGGGGAAGTATGTGTGGTTTATTCAAACGCCCTTTTAAATGTTTAATAATTTCCTGCATTTGAGACAACAACAAACAAACTGCAGTTAAGTGGGTTTTACCTTAAAAGGGGGGACAATAACGACGACCAACGGTGGTTTTCTTTAAAAAACTAATAAATTAAAAATTCTTAAATTATTCCAATAAAAGAACACAATTGAGTCTACAGAATGTCATTAAATGTTAAATATTTCTCTATGAACTTAACTCACCACCCTCGTTTACTGTTAAATAAACAATTTATTTATTTCCAAATAGAAATTCTTTAAATTATCAATGCTAATTTAAAACAGTTCAATGCTACAGTTTTTTATCTTATTTTTTTTTTGTTTTTTGACTTAAAAATATCACAACTTGTTCCACAAGAATTTAAATATTTAAATTTCTATTGATTTTTTTCTCAAAAAAAAAAAATATTTTAAAATTCCTTTTTGCAAAATAATAAAAAAATTAAATATTCTTTAAAAACGTGATCGTTTACATAAATTTAAAACAAAAAAAATTATTGTTAAAAAATTTAACAACAATTAAAAGCACGCACATTTCTCAAAATATTATTTATCCCAAAAAAAAAAAAAAACAGCAGCCCATATATTTTGACAGTTGGACAGCTGTCATATGTTTTAGTGTTTTAGTTAAATTAGTGATCTATTAATAACAACAACAATTTCCAGAAGCAAAATAAAAAAACTAAACAAAAAAGTAAATAAATATTACATGTTAAACAGCTCTTAAAGGGTTTCCTCTCCCTTGAAAACAACACTAAAGAGAGTACCAAAACAAAGAGCAAACTCTTTTTTTTATCTCAATAGCTAATTAAGCGTTTTTTTTTTAAGATAAAAACATTTTTCTTAAGATTTAAATATTTATTTAAAATAAAAAACATTCAAAAACTTTTGGGAATTCATGGGAATACACAAGTTCGGGTATTTCCCTAGAACAGAACTAGAACAGAACTAGAACTGAACTAGAACAGAACTAGAACAGAACTAGAACAGAACTAGAACAGAACTAGAACAGAACTAGAACAGAAACTAGAAAGAACTAGAACAGAACTAGAACAGAACAAAAACTAGAACAGAACAAAACTAGAACAGAACAAACTAGTAACAGAACAAAACTAGAACTGAACTAGAACTGAACTAGAACTGAACTAGAACTGAACTAGAACTGAACTAGAACTGAGCTAGAACTGAACTGAACAACTAGAACAGAACTAGAACAGAACTAGAACAGAACTAGAACAGACTAGAACAGAACTAGAACAGAACTAGAACAGAACTAGAACAGAACTCGAACAGAAACTCGAACAGAAACTAGAACAGAATAGACAGAAGGAACAGAACGAGAACAGAACTAGAACAGAACTAGAACAGAACTAGAACAGAACTAGAACAGAACTAGACAGAACTAGACAGAACTAGAACAGAACTAGAACAGAACTAGAACAGAACTAGAACAGAACTAGAACAGAACTAGAACAGAACTAGAACAGAACTAGAACAAACTAGAACAGAACTAGAACCGAACTAGAACAGACTAGAACAGACTAGAACAGTAAAACTAGAACATAACTAGACAGAACTAGAACAGAACTAGAACAGAACTAGAAACAGAACTAGAACAGAACTAGAACAGAACTAGAACGAACTAGACAGAACTAGAACAGAACTAGAACAGAACTAGAACAGAACTAGAACAGAACTAGAACAGAACTAGAACAGAACTAGAACAGAACTGAACAGACTAGAACAGAACTAGAACAGAACTAGAACGAACTAGAACAGAACTAGAACAGAACTAGAACAGAACTAGAACAGAACTAGAACAGAACTAGAACGGAACTAGAACAGAACTAGAACAGAACTAGAACAGAACTAGAACAGAACTAGAACAGAACTAGAACAGAACTAGAACAGAACTAGAACAGAAACTAGAAACAGAACTAGAACAGAACTAGAACAGAACTAGAACAGAACTAGAACATAACTAGAACAAACTAGAACAGAACTAGAACAGAACTAGAACAGAACTAGAACAGTACTAGAACAGAACTAGAACAGAACTAGAACTGAACTAGAACTGAACTAGAACTGAACTAGAACTGAACTAGAACTGAACTAGAACTGAACTAGAAAGAACTAGAACTAGAACTAGAACTGAACTAGAACTGAACTAGAACTGAACTAGAACTGAACTAGAAGAACTAGAACAGAACTAGAACAGAACTAGAACAGAACTAGAACAGAACTAGAACAGAACAGAACTAGAACAGAACTAGAACAGACTAGAACTGAACTAGAACTGAACTAGAACTGAACTAGAACTGAACTAGAACTGAACTAGAACTGAACTAGACTGAAATAGAACTGAACTAGCCTGAACTAGAACTGAACTAGAACTGAACTCTAGAAACTGAACTAGAACATGAACTAGAACTGAACTAGAACTGAACTAGAACTGAACTAGAACTGAATTAGAACTGAACTAGAACTGAACTAGAACTAGAATGAACTAAAACTGAACTAGAACTGAACTAGAACTGAACTAGAACTGAACTAGAACTGAACTAGAAACTGAACTAGACGACTAGAACTGACTAGAACTGAACTAGAACTGAACTAGAACTGAACTAGAACTAGAAACTGAACTAGAACTGAACTAGAACTAAATGAACTGAACTAGAACTGAACTAGAACTGAACTAGAACTGAACTAGAACTGAACTAGACTGAACTAGAACTGAACTAGAACTGAACTAGAACTGAACTAGAACTGAACTAGAACTGAACTAAACTAGAACTAGAACTGAAACTAAGAACTGAACTGAACTAGAACTGAACTAGAACTGAACTAGAACTGAATAGAACAGAACTAAAAGAACTAGAACAGAACTAGAACAGAACTAGAACAGAACTAGAACTGAACTAGAACTGAACTAGAACTGAACTAGAACTGAACTAGAACTGAACTAGAACTGAACTAGAACTAACTAGAACTGAACTAGAACTGAACTAGAACTGAACTAGAACTGAACTAGAACTGAACTAGAACTGAACTAGAACTGAACTAGAACTGAAATAGAACTGAACTAGAACTGAACTAGAACTGAACTAGAACTGAACTAGAACTGAACTAGAACTGAACTAGAACTGAACTAGAACTGAACTAGAACTGAACTAGAACTGAACTAGAACTGAACTAGACTGAACTAGAACTGAACTGAACTAGAACTGAACTAGAACTGAACTAAAACTGAACTAGAACTGAACTAGAACTAGAACTGAACTAGAACTGAACTAGAACTGAACTAGAACTGAACTAGAACTGAACTAGAACTGAACTAGAACTGAACTAGAAACAGAACTAGAACTAGAACTAGAACTAGAACTAGAACTAGAACTAGACTTAACTAGAACTGAATTAACTAGAACTGAACTAGAACTAACTAGAACTGAACTAGAACTGAACTAGAACTGAACTAGAACTGAACTAGAACTGAACTAGAACTGAACAGAACTAGAACTGAACTAGAACTGAACTAGAACTAAAACTAGAACTGAACTAGAACTGAAATAGACAGAACTAGAACAGAACTAGAACAGAACTAGAACAGAACTAGAACAGAACTAGAACTGAACTAGAACTGAACTAGAACTGAACTAGAACTGAACTAGAACTTAACTAGAACTGAACTAGAACTGAACTAGAACTTACCTAGAACTGAACTAGAACTGAACTAGAACTTGAACTAGAACTGATTAGAATTGTACGGAACTATATTTTTATAATTTAACTACATAGTTGTTAACACTGTTTTCTTTACTCACTTGGTGAAGACAATGTTGTTGGTGTTGTGTTTTGGTTTTTCTTTTATTAAGGAAACAAAAGCAACAAGTTTTTTTTTTTTTTGTTTGTTTACTCTTTTTTCTTTCTTTCGTTAAGGTTCTCTCACACTTTAATTTTGTTTACAACTTTGCACTCTTTCACTTTGTTTTTTTTTTTTACGATCTCACTTTTTGTTATTGCTTTTACTGTTGGACTTTTTGCTTTGCTTATTCTTGCTTTTTCTTATAATTTTTTTCATATTTCATATTATTGAAATATTTGACAACTTTTGTTGTTGTTGTTGTTGCTGTTATATTATTTTGTTTATACACTGCTGTATAATAAATGCTTTATATATTTTTGCTGTTGTTGTTGTTGGTTTTCATACATTTGGCAATAATTGCTTTAATTATTTCTTTCAATATTTATTTTATTAATTAACACACATGATTTAAATAATATATAACAATAACTATTTGTTAAAAACACCACTTTTTTTTTTTGAGAAATAATTATTTAACCTCAACTTTAATAGAACACATTTTGTAAGGTTTTGGATGATTTCTTGGGGAAAAAAAAAACACTTGTTTAAGTAAAACTTTTTTTAATTTTTAGCAATAATTGAAAAATTTTTCTTCTTTTTGTGGTTTATTTACATTTGTAGGGTTTTATTTTTTTTAATATTTATTTAAACTGCGCACGCAAAAAACTATTTTTTTTTATTAAATTTTGTTTTACTTTTTTTTCGATCGTTGCAAAACTAAACTCTCCGTTTACAAAAAAAATCACTTTTACGTACCGTAGTCGGCGTTTAACTGTTTCAGCATTGCGCAAATAACCAGTGTGAGACGATGGCGTTGTTAAAGCAGGCACCACACAACATGTGCTGCTAACAGTTCCCCTCAATTGTCTCCTTCATTAATGAAAATAACAAACAAACACACAAACCCCACAAGAAACAAATAGAAAACACACACACACACACACCAAGTGTGTTTGTTAGGCATGACAAACGCAAAACATTAATAAAAATAACAACAAAACCCATACAAAATTGATCTTAATATTAATTAAGAGTAGAGATTAATCATTTGTGTTTATGAAAGAGAATATTTCTCCTTTTCATTGCTTTAGAAAGAGAGTTTATTTCTTCATGTGTGAATTTAGTCACCTGTTTTTTTTTTCTCCAATATTTAAATTTTGCGTTCTTGGCTGTTTTAAATATTACAGACCTCGCATTCATATTGTTGGTTGTCTAGGTCTGATAAGAAGTCATCTAACACTGGGTGGGTTTAATTTGGTTAAACTTTTAGTTATGGATTTAGGATTTTCCCCAAAAAAAGTTTAAAAGACAACTTTAATTTCCTGCTAATCTTAATAAAAATAAGGAATTTTTCCCAAAAAAATTAAAAATTTTTAAAATTTCCCTTTTTTGGGATTTTGTTTAAAAAATTTTTGGAATTTAAAAATGTTTTCCAGAAATTATGTTTATTTTGTTACAAAAACAACATTTTTATAAAAATGTCCCTTAAATTATAAAAAATTTCCCTTTTAGGGATTTTTGTTAAACATTTTGGGAATTTAAAAATTGTTTCATAAAATTTCAAGAAATAATGTGTTTTAGTACAAAAACAATATTTTTAGTAAAATTTCCCTTAAATTTTATAAATTTCCCCTAAATTTTACGAATTTCCCTTTTTGGGATTTTTGTTAAAAACTTGGGAAATTGAAAATTTTCACTAAAATTTCGAAAAAAAATATTTAACTTGCATTTACTGATCTACTTTTATGAAAATTTCCCTAAAATTTTTTAAAATTTCCCTTTTTGGGATTTTTTTTCAAAATGTTGGAAATTATAAAAAATTTATACAAATTCCCTAACTTAAGTATTTTTCTTCCAAAATAACATTTTTATAAAAATTTCCCTTAAATTTTAGAAATTTCCCTTTTTAGGATTTTTGTTAAAAATTTAGGAAATTTTAAGAATTTTACAAAAATTCCAAAATTTTTCCTACAAAATAAAATTTTTGTTTATATTTTGTTACAAAAACAACACTTTTATAAAAATTTCCCTTAAATTTTCAAAATTTCCCTTTTAGGGATTTTGTTAAACATTTTGGAAATTTAAACATTTTTCCACAAATATCAAGAAATCATGTGTAAAGTAAAATTTCTCCTAAATTTTAGAAATTTCCCCCAAATTTTATAAATTTTCCTTTTTGGGATTTTTTTTTTTTAAATTTAGGATTTTTAAAAAAATTCTACACAAATTTCAAGAAACTATGTATTTTGTTACAAAAATAATATTTTTCTAAAAATTTCTCCCAAATTTAAGAAATTTCCCTTTCTGGGATTTTTGTCAAACATTTTGGGAATTCAAGGGATTTGCGCAAAATTTCCTAATTTACATTATTTTGACAAGAAATAACAATTTTATAAAGTTTTATTTAAATTAATACACAATTTTTTCAAAATTTCCCTTCTGGATTTTAATTAAACATTTTGGGAATTCTGGGGATTTGCACAAAAATTCATATATTTGCTTTACTTTCATTGAGAAATAACATTTTTTTTCACTTTTCTTTAAATTTAACACAATTTTTTCGAAATTTCCCTTTCTGGGTTTATATCAGAATATTTTGGGAATTTGGGGGATTGCACCAAATTTACATAATTTGCTTTATTTTGTAATGAAATAACATATTTATTAAGTTTTCTTTAAATTTAATGCAATCTCTCAAAATTTCCCTTTCTGGGATTTTTAATTAACAATTTGGGAATTCAGTGGATTTGCTCAAATTCACATATTTGCTTTATTTTCATTGAGAAATAACATTTAAATTCACTTTTCTTTAAATTTAACACAATTTTTCAAATTTTTCCTTTCTGGGATTTTAGTTAAACAATTTTGGAATTCAGGGGATTGCACAAAACTTACATAATTTACTTTATTTTGCCATGAAATGACATCTTTATTAAGTTTTCTTAAAATTCAACACAATTTTCCAAATTTCCCTTTCTGGGATTTTTCTAAACATTTGGGAATTTGGGGCTTTGCACAAAATTTACATAATTTGCTTTATTTCGTCAAAAAATAACATCTTTTAAGTTTTCTTTCAATTTAACACAATTTTCAAAATATCCCTTTCTGGGATTGTTGTGAAATATTTTGGGAATTCGGTGGATTTCTTTTAATTTAACTCTATTTCTCAAAATGTCCCTTTTTGGGATTTTTATGAAACATTTTGGGAATTTGGGGGATTTGCTTAAATTTACATAATTTGTTTTTTTTTTTTTTTTTGTCAAGAAATAACATTTTCATTACATTTTTTTAAATTTTACACAATTTTTCGAAATTTCCCTTTCTGGGATTTTCTTTTAACATTTTGGGAATTCAAGGGATTTGCACAAAATTTACTAATTTACTTTATTTAGACAAAAAATAACATTTTTATTAAAGTTTCTTTAAATTTAACACAATTTTTTCAAATTTTCCTTTCCGGGATTTTTCTAAAACATTTGGGAATTTGAGGGATTTAAACAAATTTAAAGTTTTGCTTAATTTTTATTTAGAAACAACATTATTACTAAATTTTCTATAAATTTAACCCAATTTCTTAAAATTTTCCTTTCTGGGATTTTTATGAAACATTTTGGGAATTTGGGGGATTTACTTAAAATTTACTAATTTACTTAAATTACTCAAGAAATAACATTTTCTTTTATTTTTCATAAAATGTTACCCATTTTTTCGAAATTTCCCTTTCTGGGATTTTAACAAAAGATTTTGGGAATTCCGGGGATCTATGCAAAATTTAAAGATTTTGTTTATTTTGATTAGAAATGTTGTAGTTATTATTTTTAAGTTAAATTTTTCAAAATTTCCCTTTCTGGGATTTTGGTTAAACATTTTGGGAATTCTGGGGATTTAGGGAGAATTTACAGATTGGGTTTGTTTTACATGAAAATAGAATTTTGCATTCATTTTTAGTGAAATTTTACTAATTTTATAGCATTTTTAAAAAATCCCAATTTTTGGAGATTTTTAAAAAATTTTTTAGGAATTCAAGGGATTGTTGTTATTAAGAAATTAAAGAAGTTTTTAAGCGGTTTTCAAGAATTTTAGGGGAAATATGGAGGATTTTGTTGAAGAATTAAATTGTTTTGAAATTAGTTTTAAAAATTATGTAAGTTTTGTGACTTTTTGAAAATATTTTTTAATGATTTATGTTTATTTTGGAATTATTTAAACAATAATTATTACAAAAACTATTAATCTTTTGCTTAAACATTAAAGAAAAGAAATCGTTAGATAAAAAAAAAACGTACATTTGACGTGTATTAAGCAATCAAAATGAAAACAAAATCTTTAACAAAAATGACTTAAGTAAATGGCAAGTTACAAGATGCTAAACGATGAAAAAAGTAAATTTAAATAAATAAACAATTTATATTATAAAGCAATGTAAAATGAGTTTAAGTAAATAAATGAAATTAAATCAATATTAAGAAAGTAGTAAAAAGACTAGGGTTTCAATTTTAAAGTTTTAATGGATTTTTTTTTACAAAATTTTATTAAGGAATTATTCCTTTCAACTTTAGCCAGTTTTATTAATTTGACTTTGAACTTGTTTTGTTTGTTAAAAAAAAAACATTTGTCTTTTAAATTAATTTTAATTTTTACATTGAACTTCAGTTATATCAGTTGCAAATTATTATTTTTTACAACCAACAAAACAGGTAATATATATTTTTAATTAGACACCTAAGCCTCCTTTAACAACTTTAATAAAAAGCTTTATATGTATAAAGTTTTAGAACAAAATTTACTTTAGTTTCTTTAGGTTAAGGTGTAACTGCTAAACAACAACAACTACCTACAGCTATATAAAGAAAATAAAACAGAAATTTTGCAAAAAAAATATTTAAAAATAAGATGTATTTAAAAAAAAAAACCTGCTTGTGGTGACCACACGAGTTTCCCACAGATGATTCATAGAGACGACGACTACGTTTACTAGGAACTTAAAAACAACAACTCTAGAAGTTTGTTTTGTTATTGCTTTTAATTAGCAAAATTTCAAAGTTCAACTGAGCAGCCTAAAGAGTATAAAGAAATAAGCTAAATAAATAAACACAATGAAAGCGTTAAGCGACAAAAATTAGTAAAAAAAAATACAAGAAATGGAAAAAGTCACTTTCTGGGGTTTTAAAACAAGATTTGGGGATTTTGCACTAGAAATACCAAATATAAAGGATTTCCCTTAAATTTAATAAAATTTCCCATTCTGGGATTTTTGTTAAATATTTTGGGAATTCCAGGGATTTAAACAAAATTATTAAATTTTGTCAAGAGATAAGAATTTTATTAATTTTTCTTTAAATTTAACACAATTTTTCGAAATTTTTCTCTCTGGGATTTTGGTTAAACATTTTGGGAATTCAAGGGATTTACACAAAATTTACTAATTTCCTTAATTTTGTCAAGAAATAACATATTTAGTGCAAAAATTAACACAATTTTTCGAAATTTCCCTTTCTGGGATTATTGTTAAACATTTTGGGAATTCCAGGGATTTAAACAAAATTGATAAATTTTGGTTTATTTTGTCAAGTGATAACAATTCTATTCATTTTTCTTTAAATTTAACAAAAAATTCCTATATTTCCCTTTCTGGGATTTGTGAAAAACATTTTGGGAATTCAAGGAATTTACACAAAATTTATAATTGTCTTTATTTTGTCAAGAACTAACATATTTAGTGACTTTTTGCTAAAATTAACACAATTTTTCGAAATTTCCCTCTCTGGGATTTTCGTTAAGCATTTTGGGAATTCCAGGGATTTAAACAAAATTGATAAATTTTGTTTTATTTTGTCACGAAATAGCAATTCTATAAATTTTTCTTTAAATTTCTCACAATTGTTCAAAATTTCCCTTTATGGGATTTTTATGGAACAATTTGGGAATTCAGGGGATTTAATAAAATTTACTAAATTTGCTTTATTTTGTCAAGAAATATCATATTTAGTAATTTTTTGCTAAAATTAACACAATTTTTCAAAATTTCCCTTTTCTGGGATTTTTGTTAAACATTTTGGGAATTCTAGGGATTTACACAAAACTAACAATATTTGCTTTATTATGTCAAGAAATAACAATTCCATAATTTTTCTTTAAATTTAAAACAATTTTTCGAAATTTTCCTTTCTGGGATTTTCGTTAAGCATTTTGGGAATTCCAGGGATTTAAACAAAATTGATAAATTTTGTTTTATTTTGTCAATAAATAAGAAAAAATTTAAATTTCATTAATTTTTGTTAAACATTTTGGGAATTCAAGGGATTTTACAAAATTGACAGTTTTGCTTTATTTTCATTTAGAAACAACATTTTTAATAAGTTTTCTTTAAATTTAAGAAGAATTTACGAAATTTCCCTTTTTGAGATTTTTATTAAACATTTTGGGAATTCAAGAGATTTACATAAAATTGACAAATTTTGCGTTATTTTGTAAAGAAATAACCATTATATTAATTTTTCTTTAAATTTAACACAAGTTTTCGAAATTTTCCTTTCTGGGATTTTAAAAAATCTTTTAAGGAATTCACGGGATTTGAGTAAAACTCAAAAACTGACTTAATTTTATATAAGAAATACATTGTTAATGAAGTTCTCTTAAAATTTAGGTATTTTAAGTTTTTGGGATTTTGGAAAACTTTTTGGGAATTCGCAGGATTAAGGTAAAACTAACAAAGTTCCTCTATTTGGCTCAAGAATTTTAATTTTGAGTAAAATTTCTTTAAAATAACATGATTTTAACTTCTGGGATTTTTGAAATACTTTTTGGGAACTCACGGTATTTTACAAAAACTCAATTATTTCTCTTATTATGTTATAGAAATATGATTTTTATTGATATATCCTTAAAACTACAGAAAATTACTTTCCTAGGAATTTAAGAAAACTTTTTGGGAATTCGAAATTTAAATAAAACTCCTAAATTTCCTCGAATTTGTTAAAAAAAAACTATAATTTTCATTGAAATCTTTTAAAACTTTCATTAATTTTCATTTCTGGGATTTTAAAAAACTTTTTAGGAATTCATGGGATTTGAGTAAAACTCAAAAATTCACTTAATTTTATATAAGAATTACATTGTTAACGAAGTTATCTTAAATTTAGGTATTTTAAGTTTCTGGGGGTTTTTAGAAAACTTTTTAGGAATTCAAGCGATTTAAAACTAAAACTCACAGATTTTCTCTATTTTGTTCAAAAATTGTAATTTTGAGAAAAATTCCGTTAAAATTACATGATATTATTTTCTGGGATTTTAGGAAACTTTTTGGGAATTCACGGTATTTGAGTAAAATTCATAAAATTTACTTTTTTTTGTGTAAAAACTTGATTTTTCACTAAAATTTGTTAAAAATTTTATAAATTTGATATTCTAGGATTTTAGAAAATCATTATGGGAATTCGCGGGATTTGAGTAAAACTCGCAAATTTTCTATTTTTTATGTAACAAATATGATTTTTCATTAAAATTTGTTTCAAATTTAAGAAATTTCACTTTCTGGAATTTTAGAAAACATATTGGGAATTCACGGGATTTGTGTAAAACTCAAAAATTCACTTAAATTTATATAAGAATTACATTGTTAATGAAATACTCTTGAAATTTAGGTATTTTAGGTTTCTGGGATTTGTGAAAAACTTTTTGGGAATTCACGGGATTTGAAGAAAATGTATAGATTAAGGCGGGATTAAGATTAAACTCACAAATTTCCTCTATTTTGTTAAAATAATTCACAATTTTTGTTTTTTTATTGTTATTTATTATTAATACTTGACAAATTAATAACAGATTTTATTTAATTTTATACATAGATTCAGACTAATCTGGTGTCTGTTATCTGCTGCCACAATTTATTGCGTTTTTCACTGACGTCGGGAGTTTCTATATCATGAAAACTTTTTTTACGCCATTCCTCAAAGGCCGGTTGGGTTTGAGACTTCAAGCTTTGCAGGGTATTTAGCAGAGATGATAAAAAGCCAGGAAAACCCTGCGAGGAGGGGATAGCTGCATTATCAGCGGCTTTTGCTGCAGTTAGGCACGAAATTGTTATGATTAAAACCAAGAAAATATGTTTAGTTGAAGACATTTTATAAAATTTTTGACAAAAAAAATAGTTTTAAACAAAATTTGCTGCTAAACACGCTGAAAAGAGGGTATACACTGCTTAGTAGATAATTTAGGCTTTATGACAATTATAAGCAAAAAAATTAAAAAAAAAAAAAAAACAAAACAATTATTATTTAAAAGATTAGATTAAATGGATTTTTATGAGTAATTTTATAATTTACAACAAAAGCCTAAAAGTAGGCTTTAGATTTTAATTAACTTGTATCAAGAATAAAATTTTTTGTTATTTGTTTTAAAAAAACGCCTAAAAATAGGATTTTTTTATTTGGTTGTTAACTTAATTATCTTTTTGAAAAGATTTTTTATCTTAAATTCTTTAAATTAAAAAAAAATAAAATCTTGTTGTTTTTGTAACACACCCTTTAACATGTTAAAACAAATTTATCATTTATTTAAAAACAAATAATAACAAACCTGTACCAATTATGTCACTTATGTTTTATATTTTAATGAAAAAAATCTATAAATAAGAGCTTTTTTAAGAAAAATTTTGGCAATTTCTGTTTGAATATTAAAGAAATAACTGATAAAGAAAGAAAAAAAAAAACGCAATTAATTAATTGAAAAAAGAAAATAAATATAAAATGAAACTTTTTATATTAACCCTAATAATAGCCCTAAAAGGGTTAAGTCAGGCGCAAGAGGACTTAACTCAAGTAAGTACTCTGATCCACATAATCTAACAAGAAAAAAATGATCTTAATAATCTTTCTCTCCAGCTTTGTTGGGAGCAACCTTTGGGTCATGTCTTGCCCCATCCTTTAGACTGTGGCCGCTATATTGTTTGCAATGAGGAGTTAAAGCCTTCGGTACATAACTGTGAATTGGGTTTTCATTTTGATGCCTTGCGTAAGGTGTGCAATTGGCCTGAATATGCCAATTGTCAAGTGGCCAGTCCTACTCAAGTGACTGCTGCGCAGCAAATCGTAACAACTGTCATGCCATGGCATTCTTCTTTAATAGCTTTAGATGTCTTAACCGGTGAAACTGTAGATCCTCTCACTCACTATGATCCTGATAATGTTTTATGTCGTCATTATGGTGCCTATTTCTTGCCAACATCCTCAAAAATGTCGTTCCTATTATTTGTGTGCTTATGGTCATATGCATGAACACTCATGCGGTGTGGGTACTCTCTGGAATTATCTTACTCAACAATGTGTTCTTAATCATAAGGCTGAATGTTATCATTTGGCTCACGAAGAAGAACAGGAAATCGAAAATAGTTTAGCCACTAGCACGGATAATCCTTTAATGGTCTGTTATCCGCTAAGCACTACAATAGCACCCACTAGGCCGTCACGTACTACAAACACCACACCTTTCCCGACCCAAACACCACGCACATCTAAGCCCAGTAGGCCCACAGCTGCCACACCAACACGTTATCCCTCCACAAAACGTCCCAACTCTACAATCCTTATCATATTGTATGCCCTGCCAAACGTCAGAGTTATGCTGCTCATCCCAAAGATTGGCGGTAATACTTTATTTGTATAATGGGTACACCGGTTAGAGACCTCTTGTCCGGTTGGTCTTTTCTGGGATTCACAAAAGGAATATTGTGATTTGCCCGAAAATGTTAAGTGTTTCAGTAAATAATCTAAACATTTTTAAATAAATAATAACAAAGAATTTTATATAAAAAAGTAAATTTTATAGATTATAGAAAGAACGAGGACTAACGGACCATAGTAGGCTCTTGTAAGGACTATACACTATACTAATGATTGTATAAGGCTTGCCTAAATTATAGACATAGGACTAGACTTAGACATAGACTATAGACTAGACTATAGACTAGACTATAGACCTAGACTATAGACTAGGCTATAGACGACTATAGAACTAGACTATAGGACTAGACTATAGACTAGACTATAGACTAGACTATAGACTAGACTATAGACTAGACTATAGACTAGACTATAGACTAGACTATAGACTAGACTATAGACTAGACTATAGACTAGACTATAGACTAGACTATAGACTAGACTATAGACTAGACTATAGACTAGACTATAGACTAGAGACTAGACTATAGACTAGACTATAGACTAGACTATAGACTAGACTATAGACTAGACTATAGACTAGACTATAGACTAGACTATAGACTAGACTATAGACTAGACTATAGACTAGACTATAGACTAGACTATAGACTAGACTATAGACTAGACTATAGACTAGACTATAGACTAGACTATAGACTAGACTATAGACTAGACTATAGACTAGACTATAGACTAGACTATAGACTAGACTATAGACTAGACTATAGACTAGACTATAGACTAGACTATAGACTAGACTATAGACTAGACTATAGACTAGACTATAGACTAGGCTATAGACTAAGAATATCGACTAGAACTATAGACTAGGACTATACTAGACTAGGACTATAGACTAGACTATAGACTCGACTATAGACTAGACTATAGACTAGACTATAGACTAGACTATAGACTAGACTATAGACGAGACTATAGACTAGACTATAGACTAGACTAGACTATAGACTAGACTATAGACTAGACTATAGACTAGACTATAGACTAGACTATAGACTAGACTATAGACTAGACTATAGACTAGACTATAGACTAGACTATAGATAGACTATAGACTAGACTATAGACTAGACTATAGACTAGACTATAGACTAGGCTTAGACTAGACTATAGACTAGACTATAGACTAGACTATAGACTAGACTATAGGACTAAGACTATAGACTAGACTATAGACTAGACTATAGACTAGACTATAGACTAGACTATAGACGAGACTATAGACTAGACTATAGACTAGACTATAGACTAGACTATAGACTAGACTATAGACTATACTATAGACTAAAACTATAGACTAGACTAAGACTAGACTATAGACTAGACTAAGACTAGACTATAGACTATAGACTAGACTATAGACTAGACTATAGACTAGACTATAGACTAGACTATAGACTAGACCATAGACTAGACTATAGACTAGACTATAGACTAGACTATAGACTAGACTATAGACTAGACTATAGACTAGACTATAGACTAGACTATAGACTAGACTATAGACTAGACTATAGACTAGACTATAGACTAGACTATAGACTAGACTATAGACTAGTCTATAGACTTGACTATAGACTAGACTATAGATTAGACTATAGACTAGACTATAAACTAGACTATAGACTAGACTATAGACTAGACTATAGACTAGACTATAGACTAGACTATAGACTAGACTATTTGCTATTATTATAATATTAAATTTTTGAATAAACTATTCTATATCAAGCTCTTTAAAAATATTTCTTATTGCTTATTAAAACATAATTAACAATAGTAGATTTTCAAAAATTCTCGGTTACAATCTCAAGAACACTTGTTATTCTAATCTCTTACGACTTGTTAAAGCACATGTTCAAATCTTCAGCTGCCAAATTTTTTGATTGACCAGTTCAATGTGTTTGTGAAAAGATATATCGACAAAAATAAATACTCTCTTATATATGTATAATGTTTATTATATTTTCAACTAATTTAAAAAAGTATATCAATCAAAAAATTTTTTTATAAAAATGGCCAAAATTTGCAAGTAAATAGCGAAAAAACAAACATATGAATTGATATTCATGCAAAGCGTGAGTCAACAAGGTTTATTTTTGAAAATAACACTGATAGTCTAGAAACGTCATAAAGTCTAAACACGATGAAGAATTTTGTGAAGAAATAATTAGATTTTTTAGCCAAAACAAGATATTTGAAGAAGAACTAACTAACTAACAACTAACTAACTAACTAACTAACAACTAACTAACTAACTAACTAACTAACTAACTAACTAACGAACGAACTAACTAACTAACTAACTACACTAACTAACTAACTAACTAAACTAACTAACTAACTACTACACTACTAACTACTAACTAACTAACTAACTAACTAACTAACGAACTACTAACTACTAACTAACTAACTAACTAACTAACTAACTAACTAACTAACTAACTACTAACTAACTAACTAACTAACTAACAACTAACTAACTAACTAACTAACTAACTAACTACTAACTAACTAACTACTAACTAACTAAACTAACTAACTAACTAACTAACTAACTAACTAACTAACTAACTACTAACTAACTACTAACTACTAACTAACTAACTAACTAACACTAAATAACTAACTAACTAACTAACTAACTAACTAACTAACTAACTAACTAACTAACTACTAACTAACTAACTAACTAACTAACTAACTAACTAACTAACTAACTAACTAACTAACTAACTAACTAACTAACTAACTAACTAACCTAACTAACTAACTAACTAACTAACTAACTAACTAACTAACTAACTAACTAACTACTAACTAACTAACTAACTAACTAACTAACTAACTAACTAACAACTAACTAACTAACTAACGAACTAACTAACAACTAACTAACTAACTAACTAACTAACTAACTAACTACTACTAACTAACTACTAACTACTAACTAACTAACTAACTAACTAACTAACTAACCTAACTACTACTACTAACTAACTAACTAACTAACTACTAACTACTAACTAACTAACTAACTAACTAACTAACTAACTACTAACTAACTACTAACTAACTAACTAACTACACTAACTAACTAACTAACTAACTAACTAACTAACTAACTAACTACTAACTACTAACTAACTACTAACTAACTAACTAACTAACTAACTACTAACTACTAACTAACTAACTAACTAACTAACTAACTAACTAACTAACTAACTAACTAACTAACTAACTACTAACTAACTAACTACTAACTAACTAACTAACTAACTAACTAACTAACTACTAACTAACTAACTACTAACTAACTACTAACACTAACTACTAACTAACCTAACTAACTACTAACTAACTAACTAACTAACTAACTAACTAACTAACTAACTAACTAACTAACTAACTAACTAACTAACCTAACTAACTAACTAACTAACTAACTAACTAACTAACTAACTAACTAACTAACTAACTAACTACTAACTACTAACTAACTACTACTAACTAAATAACTAACTAACTAACTAATACTAACTACTAACTAAACTAACTACTAACTAACTAACTAACTAACTACTACTAACTAACTACTAACTAACTAACTAAAACTACCGACTACTAACTACTACACTAACTAACTAACTAACTAACTAACTAATACTAACTAACTAACTAACTACTAACTAACTAACTAACATAACTAACTACTAACTACTAACTAAGCTAATAACTAACTACTACTAACTAACTACACTACTAACTAACTAATACTAACTAACTAACTAACTAACTAACTAACTAACCTAACTAACTACTACTAACTAACTAACTAAACTAACTACTAACTACTACTAACTAACTAACTAACCTAACTAACTAACTAACTAACTAACTAACTAACTAACTAACTAACTAACTAACTAACTACTAACTAACTACTACTAACTAACTAACTAACTACCTAACTAACTAACACTAACTAACGAACTAACTAACTAACTAACTAACTAACTAACTAACTAACTAACTAACTAACTAACTAACTAACTAACTAACTACTAACTAACTAACTAACTAACATAACTAACTAACTACTAACTAACTAACTAACTAACTAACTACTAACTAACTAACTAACTAACTAACTAACTAACTACTACTAACTAACTAACTAACTACTAACTAACTAACTAACTACTAACTAACCTAACTAACTACTAACAACTAACTAACTAACTAACTAACTAACTAACTAACTAACTAACTAACTACTACTAACACTAACTAACTAACTAACTAACTAACTAACAACAACTAACTAACTAACTACTAAACTAACTAACTAACTACTAACTAACTACTAACGTAACTAACTAACTAACTAATAACTAACTAACTAACTAACTAACTAACTAACTAACTAACACTAACTACACTAACTACTAACTACTAACTAACTAACTAACTACTAACTAACTAACTAACTAACTAACTAACTAACTAACTAAACTAACTAACTAACTAACTAACTAACTAACTACTACTAACTAACTAACTAACTAACTAAACTAATCTTTAGAAACTTTCGTTTTGAATGCTATTATTTTCTTAGATAAAGAAGGAATAAATTGTTTAACGAAAAATATAAAAAATTTAATAAAAAACATTTTCAATTCAACTAGCCTAAGATAACTAATACTACAACAAACTGTACGAAAAAAGAAGTACCAAAATTTAAAACAAGTTAATAACAAGAATTTTAAACTGCTATCTTTTTAATTGTTTAGATTTTTTGCAAAACAAATAGGAAATTAGAAAAAAAAAAAAACTACAAAAAAATGTGTATTTAAGATAATTTCCACAAATTGGGTGTAAGATACCTTTGTAGTTAGACCAAAAATAAAAATTCAATCAATAAAATTTGTACTTTTTCATTCATTCAAAATTATCAATGATGGCATTATTGTTTAGCTAATCTTGTCAATTGATTAAAATGTAAAAAAATAAAAATACATGTTTAACAATCGTTTTTTTTTTTTTGGAACTTATTATTAGTTTTTGGAAAATTTTATCAAAAAAAACCAATTTGGTTTTGATTTCGTAAATACCGTGATTTTTAGTATTTAAACCACTCAAGTGGTAACAAGAAATCAGTCACAATTTGTCCGGTGTCATCAGCTGAATACGAATTAAAATCATAATAAAAAAAATTAAACGGAGTAAAGTTTTGAAATGAAAGGTGTGTGTCAAAAAGAAAAAAAGTATTTAAGTGCAAAAAGGACTAAATTTAAAGAAATAATAATAATAATAATAATAATTAGGCAAAAATTTGGATATTTAAAAAAAATCATTAAGTTAAAAAAGTAGTATTTTTTCTACTAAGAAAATTGTCAAATTCTTCTATATTCATCAAATTTTAAATGTATTTTAATTTATAATAATTTTAACACGAAAATTGTGAAAAAAAATATTAATATTAAAAAATATTAATTTTAAAAAAGTAGTATTTCTACTACCTTTTAACAACATAACAAAATAATTAAATTTTAATAAAAAATCAAAATATTAAAATTTAAGATAAGTTCTATATAAACTTTTAGTAAAAATAAACCATTTTTAAACATTTTAAAAAAGTAGTATTTTTACTACCTTTTTATAATATATCATAATAATGGAATTTTTCATCATCATTATAATTTCAAATAAATTTTGAGGAATTTTAAGGAAAATAAGTAAATTTGTTGGATTTTAAAAAGTAGTATTTTTACTACCTTTTAACCACATAACAAAATAGTGAAATTTTTCATAAAAAAATCATTCCATTATAATTTAAAATAAGTCTTTTGAGACACTTTAATAAAAATAATTAAATTAGACACATTTTAAGAATGTAGTATTTTTACTACCTTTTAATCACATAACAACATAATGAAATTTTTCGCAAAAAATCATTCCATTCTGATTTCAAATAAGTTTTTTTGAGAAAATTTAATAAAATAATTAAATTAGACACATTTTTAAAAAGTAGTATTTTTACTACCTTTTAATCACCATAACAAAGTAATGAAATTTTCATAAAAACATATTTCATTATAATTTCAAATAAGTTTTTTTGATAAATTTAATAAAAATAATTAAATTAGACACATTTTAAAAAAGTAGTATTTTTACTACCTTTTAACAACATAACAAAATAATGGAATTTTTAGTAAAAAATCAAACTTTTTCAATTTTAAATAATTTCTATATAAAATTTAAGTAAAAAATAAGCAATGTTTAGAAATTTTAAAAAAGTAGTATTTTTACTAACTTTTTAATAAAACAAAATAGTGGTATTTTTCATAAAAAATCATTCCATTATAATTTCAAATAATTTATGTGAGGAATTTTAAGACATATAAATAAATTTGTTAGATTTTAAAAAAGTAGTATTTTCACTACCTTTTTTAATACAACAAAATAATGGAAATTTTCATGAAAAATTCATTATATTTTTATTTTAAATAAGTTTCATGAGAAAATATAGTAGAAATAATTAAATTAGACACATTTTAAAAAGGTAGTATTTCTACTACCTTTTTGCAGCATAAACAAAATAATGGAATTTTTGATAAAAAAATCAAACTATTTTAATTTTAAATAAGTTCTATATGAAATTTTAGTAAAAATAAGCAATTAAAAAAATGTAGTATTTCTACTACCTTTTAATAAAATAACAAAATTATGAGATATGTTTTTTTGTTTATAAAAAATTAAAATGTTTTAATATTTTTTTTATGTTATTCCTCTTTTTAGGTCTACAAATATCAACAGGATGTCTCCTGCTTATGGCTGCCGTTTTCGGTAAAGCTTCAGCTATCTATAGCATGAGTGAGACTTGTGAATATAGACCCGATGGTTTTATTGCCGATCCAAATTCTTGTGAAAGCTATGGTTATTGTAAAAATAACCAGTTAGTGGGTACTGGTAAATGTCCCGCTGGCTATCTGTATAATCCTAGACTGGGTATTTGCGATAGTCCCGCTAATGTCAAATGCGTTACTGATAGTAAGGATGCTTGCTTGTATGCGCCTGATAACACCTTTGTAGCTGATCCAACCAATTGCAATGGTTATTGCTATTGTAGTAATAAAAATGCCTCTTGTACAACTTGTCCCGGTTCCCAGCTCTTTGATAGTGAAAAGATAAAATGTGTATATGCTTCAGAAAAGCCTAAGTGTACTGCTGATTCGATTTGCCGTTTGGTACCCAATGGGGTATTTGTTGGTAAACCTGACAACTGTGGAGAATACATTGGTTGCCTCGATGGCTTAGGTACTGATGGTAAATGTACAAATAGTTACTTTAATAAACAACTTGGTGGGTGTCAAACAACCAATCCTTGCATAGCTCCTAGTCCAGTTGACATTGGCCCGGGTGTTCTAGAGGATTTAGAACCTAACCCTTCAAAGTGTTTTAATCCTAATGTAATAGGTAAAGCAACTGTTGATAAGCCAGTATTGTTTCTGATGAGAAAACTTGTATGGGTTATTACAAATGTACATCTAGAGATGGACCCGGCACTTGGGGCAAATGTCCAAAGGGTTTACATTTTAATAATGGAGAATGTGTTACCCCCTATACATTCCCCTGTATCCATGACCGTTGTGGTAATTTGAATAGGACATTTGTTGGCGCTATTGATACAGATTGTAAAAATTACTTGATTTGTAAAAATGAAACCTCACAAGCAAGACTTATGATTATAAAAATTATGTTGGCGAAAAATGCTCTGATGGAAAATTCTTTAACGAATTTACTGGAGAATGTGTGACCACATCACCCAAATCCAACACTTATAAACTTTGTGTATGAGTCCTGCGCAATTAATCCAACATCTAAATATTTAATTTATAAAACAAATATATATGAAAAAAATAATAAAAATCTATCAATAACTTCACACTGCTATTTTAATTTGAATTTTTTACTTAATTATAGTTTACATCAAAAAAGGTAGTAGTTTTTTCTACTACTAAATGTCAATAATTGCATACATATTTATGTATCTTAAACAGAATTTCATTAAAATTACATTAAATTCTTGTAATAACACGAAATAGAGTAACAATAATAAATTTAACTTTCAGTTAAAAAAAGTAGTACATCTACTACCTTTTTACAATATAACAAAATATGTAATGGAATTTTTCATAAAAAATTCACTACATATTAATTTGAAATAAGTTTTATAAGAAATTTTAGTAAAAATAAGCCATATTTCTAAATTTGAAAAAAGTAGTATTTCTACTACCTTTTCTTAATATAACAAAATAATAAAATTTTTCATTCAAAACTCATCTATTTTAATTTGAAATAAGTTTTATAAGAAATTCTAGAAAAAATAAGCCATATTTCCAAATTTAAAAAAAAGTAGTATTTTTACTACCTTTTCTTAATATAACAAAGTAAAGAAATTTTTCATTAAAAATCACTTTTTAATTTTAAATAAATTTTATAAGAAAATTTAGTAAAATAACCCATATTTCCAAATTTGAAAAAAAGTAGTATTTTTACTACCTTTTCTTAATATAACAAAATATTGAAATTTTTCATAAAAAATTCACTCCATATTAATTTGAAATAAATTTTATGAGAAATTCTAGTAAAAAGAAGAAAATTTGTTGGATTTCAAAAAAAGTAGTATTTCTACTACATTTTCTTAATATAACAAAGTAAATAAATTTTTCATAAAAAATTCACTATAATTTAATTTTAAATAAGTTTTATAAGAAATTCTAGTAAAAATAAGCCATATTTCTAAATTTGAAAAAAAGAAGTATTTCGACTACCTTTTCTTAATATAACAAAATATTGAAATTATTCATAAAAACATTTACTCCATATTAATTTGAACTAAGTTTTATGAGACATTTTAGTAAAAAGCAGCAATATTGTTACATTTTAAAAAAAGTAGTATTTTTTACTACCTTTTCTTAATAATAACAAAATAAAGAAATTTTTTCATAAAACACTCACTCCATATTAATTTGAAATAAGTTTTATGAGACATTTTAGTAGAAAGAAACACTTTTGTTACATTTTAAAAAAGTAGTATTTTTACTACCTTTTCTTAATATAACAAAATAATGAAATTATTCATAAAAAACTCCATTTTAATTTCAAATAAGTTTTATATGAAATTTAAGTAAAAGGAAGCAATTTTATTGCATTTCAAAAAAAGTAGTATTTCCACTACCTTTTCTTAATATAACATAAGAATGAAATTGTTCATAAACAAATATTAATTTTAAATAAGTTTTATAAGAAATTTAAGTAAAAGGAAGCAATTTTATTGCATTTCAAAAAAAAGGAGTATTTTTACTACCTTTTCATAATATAAAAAAATAATGAAATTTTTCACAAAAAAAATTCACTCCATATTAATTTGAAATAAGTTTTATGAGAAATTTTAGTAAAAAGAAGAAATTTTGTTGCATTTCAAAAAAAGTAGTATTTTTACTACCTTTTCTTAATATAACAAAATAATGAAATTTTTCATAAAAAATTTACTACATAATAATTTGAAATAAGTTTTATAAAAAATTTTAGTAAATAGAAGCATTTTTGTCACATTTTAAAAAAGTAGTATTTCTACTACCATTTCTTAATATAACTAAATAATGAAATATTTCATAAAAAACTCACTCTATTTTAATTTTCAATAAGTTTTATAAGATATTCTAGTTAAAATAAGCCATATTTCCAAATTTGAAAAAAGTAGTATTTCTACTACCTTTTCTTAATATAACAAAATAATTTTAAATAAGTTTTATAAGAAATTCTAGTAAAAATAAGCCATATTTCCAAATTTGAAAATAGTAGTATTTCTACTACATTTTCTTTATATAACATAAGAATGAAATTGTTCATAAAAAATACTAGTTTTAAATAAGTTTTATACGAAATTTAAGTAAAAAGAAGCAATATTGTTACATTTTAAAAAAGTAGTATGTATATCTACTACCTTTTAACACTATAACAAAGTAAAGAAATTTTTCATTGAAAATTCACTTTTTAATTTTAAATGAGTTTTATAAGCAATTTTTGTAAAGAGAAGCAATTTTGTCACATTTTAAAAAGGTAGTATTTTGACTACCTTTTTTCGCGGTATAAGAAAATAATGGAATTTTTCGTTAAAAATTTATTATATTTTAATTTTAAATAAATCGATGGGAAATTTTAGCAATTTTGTCATGTTTTAAAAAAGTAGTATTTCTACTACCTTTTAACAAAATTAATAAATAATTTTTTTTATTTATTTAAAGAAATGTTTACATTTTACTTCCAAAATATGTTCTTAACTCTTAGCTCTAGTTTTTGACATAAAAGATTTTTAGCAAAATTTTCTTAAAATTCCTTCTTTTTATTAAATTTAATGATTTTTATAACAAAAAGTTCAATATCAGTAACTAAAACCTTGTACGAGGTCATATCGCAACACCGCAATCAATGGAGAAGAAAAAAAGTTTCCAATGAAATTTTACGGTATTTATCTTTTACAGAAAACATCAACTTTAAACATTATCTTTATAATATATCTAGAGATAAAAAACCAAAAAATTTCAAAAATAAATCAAAATAATTGAAAAATAATAAATTGAATGGAACAGCAAGAATTTTTTGCTTATTTAAAGATAGAAAATCTACAAACAGAAGCATCAGTAGTGGAAATTACCTAGAAAATAACACACTTAAGAGCCAGAAACCCCGTCAGTAGATATTCGCCAAAAAAGGAACATTTACACAAACATCAATCAAAATGATAGGTAATATTTGAAAAAAAAAAATCGTAAAGAGTTTTTTATCTAAATTTTTCAATAATTTCAGCGAAATTTGTTTTCATTTTAACCATCTCCTTGTTTGGTTTTATTTCCGGCCAACAACACATCAATGTCGATGAGTTATGTTCTTTGGCTCCCAATGCCTTAATTTTGCAGCCTAATAGCTGCTCGGATTGGCTAAGATGTCCCAGCAGTCCCGGTGCCAGCGATATGGAAGATGGTTCCTGTGTATTTGGTTTGTACTTTAACAAGAATACTGGTAAATGTGAATACAAAGATAAGGTTGTGTGTCCCTTTGAATCGAGATCGAAAAATGTGTGCGCTGGTGAAGCTGATGGTTCCTTTGTGGCCGTTAAGGATGAATGCAATGCTTATATTTACTGCAGTGAGGGTGAAGAAAATAAATCCTATTGCCCTAGCAATTTAGTATTCAATCCCATTACCAAGTCCTGTGTTTACCAGAATCAATATAAGTGTCCCGTATCGAAACCCCCAGTCGAAGGTGATGCCTTGTGCAAGTCCTTGCCCGATGGTTTGTTCTTTGCCGATAAACAGGATTGCACTAAATACAGCCTGTGTAAAAATGGTGAGCTGCAAACCTACTCCTGTAATAGTAGTCATGCTTGGGATTATATCCAGGGTGCTTGCGTCTCTATTGATAATGTGGTCTGTTTACCCTCGGCCAAGAAGCCCGAACCAGAACTTAAAGTTTGTGTCAATACCGTGGGTCCAATCTCCGATGGCATTTCCTGCAGTGGTTATTATTTCTGCAAGAAAATGTCCAACGATACACACGATCGTAAACCAGAACATTTCAATTGTCCTGCTGGTACCTTCTTCGATCAGCAGACAAATTCCTGCCGCGATCGTTTGAATGTGAAATGTACATTGAATCGTTGTGAGGGTATGGGCAATAAGTACGTGAATATGGCCGGTGATTGTAGAAAATATATTTTATGTCAAAATGGTGAACCATTTACCAATGGTACTTGTCCCAATAGCTATTACTTCGATGAACGCACTCAAGGTTGCACACCTCAGGTGGTAAATTATGCGGCTTGTATGGCTTAAGACAATGTAATAATAATAAGATGATATGTCTAATAAAAATATTGTATTGAAAATAAAAATCAGATATTTCACTGCGCGGTTTCTTTGAAAATAACATAAAACTATTTACTAAGCAATAACACAGAACTAGAAAAGAACTAGAACAGAACTAGAACAGAACTAGAACAGAACTAGAACAGAACTAGAACAGAACTAGAACAGAACTAGAACAGAACTAGAACAGAACTAGAACAGAACTAGAACAGAACTAGAACAGAACTAGAACAGAACTAGAACAGAACTAGAACAGAACTAGAACAGAACTAGAACAGAACTAGAACAGAACTAGAACAGAACTAGAACAGAACTAGAACAGAACTAGAACAGAACTAGAACAGAACTAGAACAGAACTAGAACAGAACTAGAACAGAACTAGAACAGAACTAGAACAGAACTAGAACAGAACTAGAACAGAACTAGAACAGAACTAGAACAGAACTAGAACAGAACTAGAACAGAACTAGAACAGAACTAGAACAGAACTAGAACGGAACTAGACAGAACTAGAACAGAACTAGAACAGAACTAGAACAGAACTAGAACAGAACAGAACTAGAACAGAACTAGAACAGAACTAGAACAGAACTAGAACAGAACTAGAACAGAACTAGAACAGAACTTGAACAGAACTAGAACGAACTGGAACAGAACAGAACAGAACTAGAACAGAACTAGAACAGAACAGAACTAGAACAGAACTACAACAGAACTACAACAGAACTAGAACAGAACTAGAACAGAACTAGAACAGAACTAGAGCAGAACTAGAACAGAACTAGAACAGAACTAGAACAGAACTAGAACAGAACTACAACAGAACTTCAACAGAACTAGAACAGAACTAAAAAAACTAGAACAGTACTAGAACAGAACTAGAACAGAACTAGAACAGAACTAGAACAGAACTAGAACAGAACTAGAACAGAACTAGAACAGAACTAGAACAGAACTAGAACAGAACTAGAACAGAACTAGAACAGAACTAGAACAGAACTAGAACAGAACTAGAA